CAACCAGGAGCCAGACTCCGGGAGCCCGAACAGCCACAGGGAAGCCGGAGCGCCAGCCCGGCCTCCGGAGCCCCTCCAAGCCCCATGTCCGCCTGCAGCCCAGGCCCCACCAGATGGTCAGCCCCAGAGGGCTGATTTATCAACTATTAGTAAATATAAAACTATGTGCAAACTTGATTTGCAAAGCTGATTTATGAACCGTGCGCAGCAAGGACTGTGTCTGTCAGATGAGCAGCAATCGCTACCCATTCAACATGTCTGCCTTCATGAATATGCAAATTATATGGTGATTACCAGATTACACAAAATACTGTCTGGAGGATATGCAGATATGATCATTTTACATCTGCAATGTGATTTATCAAACCTTGAAATTGGTTGCATCGCTCTTTTAGTGTATATATTAGTACGTTTGGAAGGCAGGTGCAAACTGGCTGCGTAGTGCTTCAGACACGTAATCCCCTCTGCTCTGCAGTGTCGCAGTAAAATAAAGTATGTATACCTGCAGGAAAGCAGCTTAAAACATAACTATAAACCATCTCAGCTGTGGTTCAGTTTGTGTTTGTCGGCTTTTTATTGCTTTATCCAGAACTGTGACAGAAGAGGTTTTTTTCCTCTTTCTGAATCTTTATGCATTTATCTGATCATACATGTCAACCCCCTTCTGACATTTCTCTGTATTTTGGCCCTAATAAATGTGTAATTTTGACAAATAAGATTCAAATCTTTATTTTTAAATCAATGTTAACGTTTCACATTAGATAACTGTCCAATGAAAAAGTTAATAAAACAGAAAATAAACTAATAAAATACTTTTTGAATTATTTTTCAAGAAAGAGTCATATGGCTCTGGAGCTTCAGGTTGCCCTCTGTTCTAGTAAAAAAATAAATAAATAAATCTTACAAAACTAAATTTTGTTTTGTCTAGTTTGCCTCCATCAGTCACACACGCTATCTCATTTCAATAGGGTGGTCCAGACCACCGCTGCGCCTCTTATTCTTTGTGCAGTGTTAGTAAAAAACACACAACACATCCACTTATACTACAGGCTATTTTTTAATTTGTGCAGGTATTTAGTACTGGTTATCTGCCTTCTTTATAAATCAGCACCAGAGTGTTGTACATTACACTTTAGGTTTTTTTTCAATGACTGCATTTGCACTGCGACTGAGCCTTGTTTTCTACTGTGTGTTTCTACCTGCTGTCAGGGAGCGAGAAAAATGTGAGGTTACCACCTTGGTGACAAAACTGAGCCAGTGGCAGCAACTTTTAACATTTCTTTAGACTCTGTTTGCACTTCTTATACGGTTAATACATTATCATTTATAACAAACTGATAGTTTAGATTATTGCCAGAGTAAAATTATTTTGGGGTTTATAGAAGAAAGATTGATTTATGCTGGAGTTTGGGGGAGTAGCTACATTATCACCATTTAAAATTTCTTCATAAATTTACCCAGGCCATCAGTTACAAACTCAACAAAGTTGCAAACTGCACATTCTAAAGTGAAGCCAGAATCCTGTTAATTCAGTTAAATTTCATGGGAAACCAACACTATCTTCAGCTGGACACTGATAAGCAGGTTTGTCACTAAAAATACATTTTTCCCCCTCAGGCAGACTGGTGTGAGCTGACTCTTGTACATGAGAACAGCCCACCTGTCTTATGATGGGAATAAAAGTTGGGTGAGTCACTTTGAACGCTCCAGTCAAACAGAAAAGATGAGAGCTGTTTGGATTCTGTTGGTTCTTGTGGCTACAGCCAAAGCTAAAAGGGACTTTACTGGGTAAGTTTATCTTCAGTAGTTGTGCTTTTTAGTGTTTAGTTTGCCATTTACAGCTGAGTTTAGTGAGACTGACTTAAAGATCAAGTGACTACCCTTCATTGACGGGCTGATTTAAGTACAATAAAACGCTCAATATGTGCACAACTAAAGTATTTTTTTCAATAAATAAGTATATCAAATATCAGTAAATGTTTTTTGGTATTTTAATAAGCTGCAGAAAGATGTCAAACATTCTATAATGCTCTTTCTAACTAATCAAGTGACGGAGGTACAGTATGCTGACATTTCCAGCATGACTCAGCTCATGAGAGATTAAATAATGATATTATTTTGCTATATTTGAATTAAATTCAGTTTATTTATATTGCACCAAGTGACATCAAATGTCTCAGAGCACTGTCCAAAAAAGAGTCGAGTCCAAAAAAGTCCGCAGATTGTGTTGAATCATCACTTCGTCACAGTGTTTGAAGACAGTGAACAAATTGTTTACCTCTGCTGAGATCTTATGGGTTTGTCGGTAAACCTTCACAACAATGATCACAGAGAAGCTGGATCTCTTTCAGTGATCAGGTCATCAGGATAGATGTGCGCTCGGAGAGACAGATCCAGCTGCTGCAAGCTTTGGAGACTGAAGAGGAATTTGAGGTAGGCACACTCAGACACAGTGTCGTTCTATCTTTACACAGACTTCGCATTGATTTTTCCTTTCTATAGCCTAACCCTGATCCTTACCATAAACCGAGCCATCCCAGTACATACCCCTAAACCTAAGCATACCTAGCATTTTATATTACAGTGATTACAGTGAAGTACAGTACAGTACAGTGAAGTACATTACAGTGAAGTACAGTGAAGTACATTACAGTGAAGTACAGTACAGTACAGTGAAGTACAGCGAAGTACATTACAGTGAAGTACAGTGAAGTACACTACAGTGAAGAACAGTACAGTACAGTGAAGTACATTACAGTGAAGTACAGTACAGTGCAGTACAGTGAAGAACAGTACAGTACAGTGCAGTACAGTGAAGTACAGGGAAGTACATTACAGTGAAGTAAAGTACAGTGAAGAACAGTACAGTACAGTGCAGTACAGTGAAGTACATTACAGTGAAGTACAGTGAAGTACATTACAGTGAAGTACATTACAGTGAAGAACAATACAGTACAGTGCAGTACAGTGAAGTACATTACAGTGAAGTACAGTACAGTGAAGTACAGTGAAGAACAGTACAGTGTCGTGTCTCTCTCTGGTCTCTGGTTCCATTTCG